CTTGGTGAGATGCAGCTGGGGTGTTAAAACTCCATCTCATTCCTTCCTGCACAAAAGTCCTGTCAATTTTAGAGTGATTTAAAGCGGCCAATGCTTGCCTCAGTTCCTTCTTCGCACCAACAAAATTTGTGCCGTTATCTGACCTTACACTTGTCACAGGTCCTCTTCTGCAGATAAATCTTCGCACAGCATTGATGCAGGAGTCCGTGTCGAGGGAATGCGCCACCTCAAGGTGTACTGCGCGGCTACTCATACAGGTAAATATCACTCCATATCGCTTCAGCACAGTTCTACCTCTCCTCACCTCCAATGGTCCAAAATAGTCCACTCCCGCATTTGTAAAGGGTGCGTTATCAGGCACAACTCGTTCCTCCGGTAAGTCGGACATCTTCTGTTCTCCAAGCTTTCCTCTGTACCTTCTGCACACTGTATATTGTGAGAGAATCTTCCTGGCCGCAGAGTTGGCATTTATGATCCAATACTTCTGTCTCAATCTGTGCAGCATGTGATTGCGTCCAGCATGTCCAAGTTGGCAATGGATGTAACGCAATATGAGCTGGGAAACATGCAAATCCTTTGACAGAATCACAGGATGCTTTACCTCCCACGGCAGTGCAGATTTAAACAGACGTCCACCAACTCTGAGGATGCCATCTTCGATGAAGGGGTCGAGGCGATACAGAGGACTGTCTTTAAAAACAGTCTTTGGGTCATGTTCTAGTGAGGAAATTTCAGTACTGAATCTTTGGTTTTGTGCAAACTGAATTATTGCCTTTTCAGCTTCCTCCAAGCGCTCTGGTGTCAAGCTGGATTTTCCAAGTGCGGCTTTGAATTTTTTAATCTCCTTTTCCACATTCTCATTCTGGTTGACCACATATTCTTTTCTCTTTCGGCTCAAAAGTAAAAGTCTTTCTTTCAGCTCCAACAGCCAGGCCACTGATGTTTTAAGCTTTCTCCAGGATGAAAAATAGTGAACGAGCTGACTGAGAGGATTGTCACTGTGTATTGTAACAACATTCACCTTAAGTTCCCTTTTCACCTCTGCATCATCAGATGGAATGGAAGAGGAGTCCAAGTCGAGTTTCGGCCACCTGGTGGGGGCAAGTGCAAAAAGTCCGGTCCTTTTAGCCATTTTCCTTTCCCAAACTCCTGAGCTCTTAGTCCTCGAGAAGCTTCATCTGCAGGATTGTCTTTGGTGTTTACATACCTCCACTGATCTTTGTCTGTGGATTCTCTTATGGTACTAACACGATTGGCAACATATGTGTGAAAGCGCTTTGTTTCATTGAAGATGTACTTGAGAACAGTAGTGCTATCGGTCCAAAAAACTGACCTTTGCAATGGCAACTGTAGCTCTTTCAACAGCATTGTGTTCACTCGAACAGCAAGCACAGCTGCAGCAAGCTCAAGGCGTGGAATGGTTAGTTGCTTTAGGGAGCGACACGAGCCTTGCCTGTGATAAATGAAACATGCACGTTGTCAGTGCTCTCCAATCTCAAGTATGAAACAGTGCCATATCCTGTTTGACTAGCATCTGAAAAATGATGCAGTTCTGCTTTCACTTGTGTTCCAAAGTTTTTGGGTTTAATGCACCGTTCCACTTTAAATCCACTCATGTGCTGAAGTTCAGAGAGCCACTCAGACCAGTGTTCGGAGACATCACGGGGAACTGGCTCATCCCATTTGAATTTCATTCTGCACAACTCCTGTAACAGTAACTTGGCAGGGATTATGAAAGGAGACAGAAAACCCAGCGGGTCGTAAAGAGAGCTCACCACAGAAAGGATGCCCCTCCTAGTGTGTGGACGTTCCTGCACTGCAGTCCTGAAGCTGAACGTATCTCCTTGAACACACCATTGCATCCCCAGAGCTCTTTCCACAGGGAGTTGGTCCCTGTCCAAATCCATGTTCTCCAAACCCACTGCTCTGATATCGCTAGGAATAAGTGCAAACACATTTGAGTTATTTGTGACCCACTTTTGGAGATGAAAGCCGCCTTTTTTACAGAGAGATGTTAATCCATGTATGAGCTTCACTGCATCTTCCTCTGTCACAGTGGACTTCAGACAATCATCCACGTAGAAATTTGTCTTAACTGTACGAAGGACATCGGTGAATATTGCAGTGCATTATCCTCAGCAGTTCTCCTCAGTGCATAGTTTGAGCAGCTTGGAGAGGATACAGCTCCAAACAAATGCACGCACATCCTGTATTCCTCTGGCTCCGCTGTAGCGTCTCCATTGGGCCACCATAGAAAGCGCAAGAAGTTAACGTGCTTATATGGAACCCGGACCTGATGGAACATGGCGTTGATATCAGCCATAACAGCGATGGGCTCTTCTCTAAACCGAAGGAGGACACCAATTAGCGTGTTAGTGAAGTCTGGGCCCTGCAGGAGCTGACTGTTCAATGATATACCTTTGTAAGTACAGCCGCAATCAAACACAACACGCAACTTTCCTTTGGTTGGATGACGTACACCATGGTGGGGAATGTACCACACCTTTCCTTGTTCCAGAGTGGGCTCATTTGTGGGAACCTTTTCTGCATATCCTTGCTCCAACATGTTGTTAAGGAAATCAACGTATTGAGCCTTGAATGAAATGTCTCTATTAAATCTCCTCTTCAGGCCTTGGAGTCTTTGTAGTGCAATGCAGCGATTATTTGGCAAAACAGGATCATCAACTCTGAAAGGTAAGTCAATGTGATAATGTTCATTGTTAAGCACTGTCGTACTCTCCACAATTTTCATGAATTTAATGTCTTCTCTTGACATCTCAAGTTGTTCATCACTTGTTCTTTCAGTAAAGTCATGATTATACTGTTGCATCAACATACTTTCCAAGTGTTCCACAGATATGCGATTAGCAGTTACAACAATGCATCCTGATTTGACACCAGTACCTTCAGAGTCTCCAGCACGAAGAGGCCCATTTATGACCCAGCCAACTCTGGTCCTCACTGCATACGGTCCACCACATTGACTGTTTATCAGTTCCCATGGCTCCAAAACTTTAGGAGAGTCGGTTCCAATGAGCAAGTCTACATCTGCATCTACTTCATGTAGCCTAATGCTGCTCAAATACGCCCATTTGGCAACATCATCCTGACATGGCACATTGACTTTAGAGACAGGCATTTTTGTTTGTGTCAGAACAGATGGCAGCTCAATAAAGTCATCGGTGTCAAATCCAGACACCTCCAGACCGGTTACTATAGTAGTGTTGATGGTTTTAGTTTGCCCCATTGTCCTTAACACTACATTACAGTTTTTTCCTGATACTCCCAGCCTTTCAGCCATACTTGTAGTACAGAAGGTACCAGAGCTCCCAGGATCCAGGAAAGCATAAGTATGCACAACTTTATTACTTTTCTGACTTTTCACCTGCACAGCCACAATGGAAAAAACAGCAGTATCCTCTTCACCAGCCCCAATATGACCACACGTCTGCTGCTTCCCGGATACAGTGCTCACAGTTTCTTTGGAGGTTATCCTTGTAGTATCCTCCTTCTCCACATGCAGGACAGATGGGTGCTTCCTGTGACACACTTCACAATCCAAACGACTCCTGCAGTCTTTGCTTGTGTATCCATGTTTCAAGCACCCAAAACAAACGCCCTTCTCCTTTAGAAACTGAATCTTGTCCTGTTGTGTCTTTCTTCTAAACTGAAAGCATTTTTCCAGAGTGTGATTGGTAAGATAGCAGAATATACATTTGAGCTGGTTACTGTGAGCTGTCATGTTTTCCATTTCTTTATGTCCATCCTTTGGTGCATTAATGCTGGTGGCAAATGTACCACTTTTCCTCTTCTGCTTAACTTGCATGGATAGCTTTGTATAGCTTGCTGGAGAAACATCATTAATATTTCCAAACAGAGGATCTGAAACAATTTTGACTTGTTTTTCAATGAAATTCACAAAATCAACAAACACTGCTCTGCTTCCAGTTTGTTCCAGTATGTCACATGCCACATTTCTCCACTTTTCCCTCAGCTTGTATGGGAGTTTCATTAAGATCGTCCTGAGGTTAGCTGGCATGTCCAACTCCTTCATATACTTTATATGATGTACTATATTGGAGCAACCTCGAAGGAACAAAGCAAATGACTGCAAAGCATTAACATCCTCAGGTTTTATTGAGGGCCAGTTGTTGATTTTGTCCATGTAAGCCGAAGAGATTTTATGTTCACTGCCAAAATGTTCAATCAAAAGCGTTTTTGCTCTTTGATAACCTGGTTCAGAGGGCATATGCTGACAACTTCTCACAATGTCTCTTGGTTGCCCTCTAGTGTACTGTTCTAGGAAGTACAGACAATCCACTGAAATTTTGAGTTTTATCCTCAATGCAATTTTCAAAGGCTCTGAGAAAAGATTTGAAATACCGGGGATCTCCATCAAATACAGGTATATTTCTCATAGGCAGAGCAGAGGCTGTGTTTTGTTGGACCAACAGCGCGGTTATTTCATTTTGACGCTGCATGATGTTCAAAATGTCCGGAGAATTGATGGATGGATTATCGTCACAAACATCTTGCAAACCCGGTGATTGTGTATCTTGCCTTTGAAACACAGGAATGACATTAGGTATGGGTAGTTGTTTTACAACATGTTTGGGTTGAACACCAACAGGGACAGAATTTAACAAGCGACTGGAGGTAGGTTCAGAGCTTTTATTGGCGGGCACATAGCGTTCAGCATTCGGATTTAGTTCATATGTCCTTTGAGTTTCTGACCTTTTCAAGTAAGAATTCATGCCATCTGATGTTTGAGATGCACATCTTGACACTTTAGAGCCACACTTTGAGCTTACTTCCAGAACCTCCAATTTCGCATTTGTCACCTTTAATTCTGCCTCCAGAGCAAGTTGTTCCTTTTCTCTCCTTAAATGTTCCCGTTTCTTCCGTAAGTCCTCTTGTTCAAGTCGTATTTGTTCCTCCTGATCCTCCAAAATATGCCTTTGTTTTAGAGCAGCCATGCGTTCCTGTAACGCTGCTCTTTCTGCTTGCACTAATATTTTTGCAGATGCACTGGATGAAGTCTTTGACAGTTTAGAACCAGCCTTTGAACGCGTTTCAGAACCTTTATTGGATACACTGTCCTCAGGCCCAATATCAGTTGGATTATCAGGTGGTTTAATTGGAAGTTCATATGAATGGCCTGTGTTTGATAACCAACCTTTGACGTCATCAATAAAGCTTGAAAAACACTTTTCCTTTTGTTCAAAATATTTATCTTGTTTCTCCTTCTCGTCCTGAGGTATGTCCAGTGACACAAATGACAAATGATGTTGTTTTGCCTCATCAACACATATTATTATTTGATCCAAAAGAGACTTGACTGCATCAATATTGTCTGCAGAATGCATCAACTTATCCATCTGATTCATGTACGATTTGGCTCGTCTGCATTGCACCGATCTCTTTTCCTGACACGTTTGCATAAAAAACATCATTCCTTTAGCAGTAAAACTTGCGCGTCTTCTTGTAGGAAGCGCCGTGTCGCTTGTGGCTTTAGATGCAACGTCAGACATTTTACCCTTTGTTGATGTTGGTCATGTACACACACAGTTGCTTGCAAAGAGTGTGTAAAGCACATACCTTGTGGAACTTCATTTGTTGCGGTGGTTGCCTTTGTGCACGGAATTGAATGAACGCAGTAGCTGTTGTTGCGCGCGGCTGTGCGCATCACCTGTGAAGGCTTTGGGCCTTTGCGAATTCAAATCGCAGCAAATAATACCCTCCACTCCGTAGTGCAGCTCCAGCGCTCCAGTAGCTTCACCGTTATCCAGTACGGTGTCCAGGGAAATTTTACACTGTCGGATGGGTCGTATTATTCGATGTTTGCACTGCATCCAGCCCCCTGGCTCCGTCACTCCTAGGCCCTTTCCTTTGTCTCCCACATCCAGGTGAATAATCCACTTTCGAAACGGCAATCAGCAAACGACAAGTCCAGTATCCACGCAAACCCACAATATATCCAGGGCAGGTTTTTTACTTAATGTAGTGGCTATTTGTCCATAAACTTAAACAAAAACAAATAATAACAAACTTCTCAAATGGCCACTTGAGGCTACGTCATGGTTAGGCTTTACGCAGGTTCAGAGGTACCAAAGCAAGATAATGTCCATAACAAGACTGAGTTTGAGGAGGTTTATTCACACACATAAGCAAGCTTACAGACATTTCTGCTGCCTCTCTCACGCTGGTAAAAAACCATATGCCCTCGTGCCTGCGGCACCTCTCACCTTGACCTACTTATGCAAATGAACATAACACCATGTGACCAACAAACGACAATGCAAGTAAAGCATAACTACAAAATAAACCAAATTAACTTTAACAAATAAATTGGGCTATAAATTAACTCAAACCCAAAATAAACAAAAATAAGAATATAGCTCCAACACTTATGTTGGTACAACCAGGCTATACGTTATGGTAGGCTACTGAATGATAACACAAGTTGATGTTCTGGACCTTTTGCTTTGTGAAATTTTCTCTAACTGGACCTCTTTGAACTTTAATTAAATAGCCCTGCTGTACTGTCTCCAGACACCTCAATCAACAAGGGTCTTATGTTGATGATACTACTAGACCATTGTTCATTGAGGTGATTTTGGAGACACTAAAGCTTCTAACAGTAAAGTTATTGAATATTAAATTCCCCAAATCTACATTTCTATGAAGTAGTGTTGTATCACCAGCAGGATACCGCTGATGTGTGGGGTGATTTTGTAGACATGACAACTTATCAGTGTAGATATTGAATCGGGGACTTTATATCCAAATGTACCAAACTGATTCACAGGGATCTCTCCAAACTGCTGATTAGTCCAAAGTGAGGACTATGGGAGTGATCGACTGTATCGATGGTAAAAACACTGCAGATGTCAGTAAATGGTCCAGATGTGCATGTTGTCTGCTTTGTGTCCTCATGGTGTTTAATGTGTTTGTACTTACATACAGCCTATAGGGAGACAGGCTGAGGTGTTGGAACACAGAGTGGAGACACTGTTAGCTGCACCATCCAGTACATGTAAAATGTGAGTGAACTGTGTTACTGTAGCTGTACAATATAAAGCTGGACAACATGTTTCAGATTTACTGGCTGTATTTCCTACCTGTCACACACAGACAACACACCAGCTGAGCTGTAACAACAAGAACACCTGAACTGAAGTCCAGAAGATGGAAGAGGAGGACAGAGCAGAGTCTGCAGGATCCAGCTGTCTGTCTATGAAGAGTGACTTGTCCAAAGATGAACCTCCATACCTCAGTCCTGAACCTGGACCCTCAGACACAGGATCCAGCTGTCTGTCTATGAAGAGTGACTTGTCCAAAGATGAACCTCCATACTTCAGTCCTGAACCTGGACCCTCAGACACAGGATCCAGCTGTCTGTCTATGAAGAGTGACTTGTCCAAAGATGAACCTCCATACTTCAGTCCTGAACCTGGACCCTCAGACACAGGATCCAGCTGTCTGTCTATGAAGAGTGACTTGTCCAAAGATGAACCTCCATACTTCAGTCCTGAACCTGGACCCTCAGACACAGGATCCAGCTGTCTGTCTATGAAGAGTGACTTGTCCAAAGATGAACCTCCATACTTCAGTCCTGAACCTGGACCCTCAGACACAAAGTAAGAGACTGTTTTTACTGTAAACTGAGCTGAGGGAAGATGACGATGAAGACAAAATGTTGTGCTAAAAGAACTGTTAGTGCAGATACTGTTTCAAACTAAGATGGAACACCTGAACCTCCATTTCAGAATTTACACTTCAAGAAAATGTTCCTATATTTTTGCCCTCACGTTGACGTCACTGTAAAGATTTAGAAGGATTCAGAATCTGAAAGAATCTGCTTCAGATGGGTCATTTTCTCCTATTTGTCCTCTAAACACTGAGCTGTTTGGCTCTTCCTCAGATCAGCTGTTCTGATCCACCAGATGCATCTTGAATCACTTCAGATCATAATTGTGCAACATGTGGTGAAAAAGCATTTGTAGTTCAGCTTTGCTCACCTTGATGAACACTTTGCTTTGAATCATTAGTAAGTGGAAAAGACAGGAAAAGCTGTTAATTAGTGTTTCTGAAATCAGGAGAGCTGAAATAAAGAACAATCATCTTCATTACTGACTGAAAGCTGAATTCAAGCAGAAAAGTAACAACACTTTTCCTGTTCTCTGTGGCCATCTGAGCTTCTACACAGTGTCAGCCAGATCTGGATATTTACAACAACAAGCAACAAATCATTTTAGTTCTAAAGAAATGTATAATAAGGGAGCAGGAACACAGGAGATCTGGCCCAAATACAGACAACAGAGGCAGAGTATGTACTGTTCAGAGATTTAATAATGTCAACTGGGGCAAGAAACTGACAGGCTGGTGAATTGGCCGGCAGAGATAAAAAAAAAAAAAGCAGGAAAGAAGTCCAAGGAGCAAACGGATCCAGTAGGGAGCTTGCAAGAATCAAAAGTCCAAAAACAGGCAGTTCAACAGCACAAGGAAATATATAGTCCAGGAGGAAACTAACACGAGGGACAGGGCTTGAACTGCAGACAAAATACACTGAGGAACAGGCAAGACTAAATATACTAGTGAGCACAAGATAATGAGACACAGGTGAACTTAATCAGGGAGGAGCAGACAATCAAACAAGGGGGAAGCCAAGTGACCCAAAACCAGATGAGAGGAAAATACCAAAGTAAAACAGGAAACACAAAGACACAAGAGGAAGCATTTAACATAATAAAACAGGAAATAATAACCCTCAAAGCCAAAACCATGACAACATGTCTTCACAGAGAGAGGAAGAGGAGTCATGTTTCTGTGGAGGAGCAGCCGTCCTGCTGTGCTTTGTGTCAGGACGTCCTGAAGGATCCAGTCTCTACCAGCTGTGGACACTGGTTCTGCAGACGGTGCATCACCTCATACTGGGACCAGTCTGCTTCATCAGGACACTCCTCCTGTCCCCAGTGTGGAGAAAGATCCAGAACCAGAGCTGGACTGCAGACAGCCAGTCAGAGCAGATCTGTACAAAGTAAGACTGTCCATCTGTCTGCTGATGTCCTCATGTCTGAAAACAGGATTCTTGGCTTTCTTTGCCTCGCAGCATTTAAAATGTTGCTGTCTCAGCCAATCAGAAACATTTTCAATATAATTGGTTGTTTTTATATTGGTGCTAATGAATAATTCCTACTAATGATTCTTTCTTCTGTGACAGTGGATGGCAGTCTGCAGGAGGTTTTAGATGAACATAAGATCAGTCTGAGGAGGAGATGTGAACGTGTGACTGAAGGAAGTGATGAAACAGGAAGTGGAACCCTCCTCAACAGGATCTACACTGAGCTCTACATCACAGAGGGACAGAGTGAAGAGGTTAATACCCAGCATGAGGTGAGGCAGCTTGAGACAGCTTCCAAGAAGAAGACCCTCCATGACACTCCAATCAGGTGCCAGGACATCTTTAAAGCCTTACCTGGCCAACAGAGAGCCATCAGAGTGGTTCTGACCAACGGCGTCGCTGGCGTTGGAAAAACCTTCTCGGTGCAGAAGTTCACTCTGGACTGGGCAGAGGGCTCGGAAAACCAAGATGTCGGTCTGCTGGTTCTGCTCTCGTTCAGGGAGCTGAACTTGATCAAAGATGAGCGGCACAGTCTCCTCACGCTGCTCCATGTTTTCCATCCAACATTACAGAAGGTCCCAGCAGAGAAGCTCGCCGTCTGGAAACTGTTGTTCATCTTTGACGGCCTGGATGAAAGCAGACTTTCATTGGATTTCAACAACAGTGAGGTTGTGTCTGATGTCACAGAGAAGTCATCAGTCAACCTGCTGCTGACAAACCTCATCGAGGGGAATCTGCTTCCCTCGGCGCTCGTCTGGATAACTTCCAGACCTGCGGCGGCCAATCAGATCCCTCCTTCGTGTGTTGGCAGGGTAACAGAAGTACGAGGCTTCACTGACGCCCAGAAGGAGGAGTACTTCAGGAGGAGAGTCAGTGATGAAGAGCTGTCCAGCAGAATCATCTCACACATCAAGACCTCCAGGAGCCTCCACATCATGTGTCAGATCCCAGTCTTCTGCTGGATCACTGCTACAGTTCTGGAGCACATGTTGACTACAGAGCAGAGAGGAGAGCTGCCCAAGACCCTGACTGACCTGTACTCACACTTCCTGCTGGTTCAGATAAAGAAGAAGAAGCAGAAGTACGATGAGGGACATGAGACGAGTCCACAGGAGCTGACGGAGGCTGACAGGGAGGTTCTTCTGAAGCTGGGGAGGCTGGCGTTTGAACAGCTGGAGAAAGGAAACATCATGTTCTACCAAGAAGACCTGGAGCAGTGTGGTCTTGATGTCACAGAGGCCTCGGTGTACTCAGGAGTTTGTACAGAGATCTTCAAAAGAGAGAGTGTGATCTTCCAGAAAACAGTCTACTGCTTTGTTCATCTGAGCGTTCAGGAGTTTCTGGCTGCAGTCTACATGTTCCACTGTTACACCAGCAGGAACAAAAAGGGACTGGAGGACTTCCTGAGGAAAGACTGGGACAGTGATTCATTCATTGATGAAGACGAAGATGAAGATGAAGACAAAGATGAACACGATGATGAAGACGACGGCGACGACAGACGGGATAATGACAATGATTCATCCCTGGATGTCTTCCTGAGGCGTTCCATGGAGAAATCTCTCCTAAGTAAAAATGGCCACCTGGACCTGTTTGTTCGCTTCCTTCATGGCCTCTCTCTGGAGTCCAACCAGAGACTCTTAGGAGACCTGCTGGGTCGGACAGACAACAGTCCAAAAATCCTCCAGAGAGCCATCAACAACCTGAAGGAGATGAACATGTACATGATCTCTCCTGACAGAAGCATCAACATCTTCCACTGTCTGACGGAGATGAACGACCACTCAGTACATCAGGAGATCCAAGAGTTCCTGAAGTCAGAGAACAGATCAGAGAAGGAACTCTCTGAGTTCCACTGCTCAGCTCTGGCCTACATGCTGCAGATGTCAGAGGAGGTTCTGGATGAGTTGGACTTGAAGAAGTACAACACATCAGATGAGGGACGACAGAGACTGATTCCAGCTGTGAGGAACTGCAGAAAGGCTCAGTAAGTCCAGATGTGATTATCAACACTGTAAAGCTGAAGCATCAGTATTACAGTAAAGATACACACTTTACACACTCGCTCAATATAAAACCTCCACACTATAAAAGTTTCCTAAACTAGTATTAAAGCTGCTTATTGAAATAATTCTACATGTGTTAAACTCCAAATGTCTACAAACATCATTTCTGTGTTTCTATCCATCAAGTTAGTGACACAAGTATCTTCTATAATCTTCTGTCTTTCTTTGGGTGATGGAGGCTTGATACAAATCCAGCAGGAAAACTTGAGGATTAAGAGTTTGTGCTGAAAATGTTTTGACAGTCATCATTTTATCCCAGCAGTCTTTTTATTTTTCCACTGATCCAGTGTCTGCACTCTGTTTCTATACTGTGTCTGTTTCTTGTTCTTCTTCTACACAGACATGTCGTATCTGTGATCTGCTGGAGCTAACGGCACTTGAAGCTTTCATGCAGTTATTGCTCTTCTAGTTTTTCTCTGCAGTTTGGGAGCTATTTTATAGGAAGGACTGTTCTGTCCATTTTCTCTAATTATTGTTTGATTTGAGAGGATGTGAGGGGAGGCCATCCTCCCTCTTGAAGAGAGAACAGATCATCCCCCTCCCCATCCTCATTAAATAAAAGGTGTCATTTCACATTGTTTAGTTCCAACAATGAATGTCTCTTCATGTGTTTTGCTGCATTAGAAATTGATTTAGAAACAGTAAGGAAGCTCTCTCTCTGGTAGGATTTGAATGGACTGGTCTGTAAACTGGTAAATTCCAAAGATACTTTAGTAATGTTCACTGATAGAGCGTTTTTAAAGCATAATGTGAGAAATGTTTACCAAGACAAATTGTCAGACAATGTGTTTCCTTTCTGCACCATTTCACAGAAGCAACATTAAAGCTAGATATGCAGAGAAAACAGCAGCACATGTGATGCCCACTAGCACATTTTTGTGACTGGAATTATTTACGCACAACAAGGGACATATGCTCGGTCTTGTTCTTTCTCATGTTATAACCATTAATAATGTCTACATCGGAGATGTATTTGTTAGTGATCACAAATGCATCTTATTTGATCTTGTTTGTGATGAGGATCCTCTGCCTGCTAAACGAGTGTCCTGCTCACGTTTGATTAACCAGCTTTGTGAAATTTTCAGCCGCATTTGACTCAAGCTCGGTTCTTATTTCGAATGAAGTGGACCCTTGTGCATAGGCGTTTAATGATCACTGCACCCTGCTGTTGGACAAAGTGGCGCCTCTTAACACTAGAGAAATTCCCTCAGTTAATACATCCCTCTGGATGAGTGACGCTATTCACAGCTTGAGGCGTGAACTGAGCATTTATGGAAGCCGACTCAGCTACAAGTCCACTGCCTGCATCTTAAAGCACTCTTAATAGACTTAAACAAAATGATCAAGGATGCTAGAGCCTCTTATTTTACTAATCTGATATCCGCCTGTAAAAAAGAAAATCCTACAGCTCTGTTTGAGACTATTAACAACATTGTTTCTCCTGCTGCATGTATTGTCCCTGTATTTTCAAATGCTGACTGCAACCACTTTTTGTCTCATTTTATGGACAAGGTTAGAGCTGTCAGGGCAGGCATTGTTCCATCAGCAAACCCCCATATAGTTAAACATCACAGACTTTCAATACTGGACTCCTTCTGCCCCATTACTCTGAATGACATCATTAAGTTAGTGGGCATATTTATTATATTTCACCCACATCTTTGCATTTAAAAGCCATACATCTACTTGGCCCATGTTTGGTTTCAACTTTAAACTTATCTCTTTAGCTGGGCCAGGTCCCCAGCTGTTTTAAGCATGCTGTTGTTCAGCTTACATTGAAAAAGAACTTTCTTGATGAAGCTTCATTTAGAAACTATAGGCCTATTTCTAAATTGCCTTTTCTTTCTAAAATTCTAGAAATGGTTGTTGCGAACCAGCTAAATAATGTTTTGGATTCTCATAATATCTTTGATAAGTTTCAGTCTGGTTTTCATAAAAACCATTCAACTTAGACTGCCCTCCTTAGGGTCTCAATTGATATTTTGATGGCTGCTGATGGGGGTAAATGTTCTGTAGATCTCAGTGCAGCATTTGATACTGTTGGTCACTGCACTCTTGATTGATAGACTGAAAACAACTGTGGGCATTACTGGATCAGCTCTGGACTGGTTTTCCTCCTATCTTTCAGACGGGGAGTTTCTGTGTCCATAGGAACATATACGTATGTGTTTTTTAGGTAAAAATGAAAATGCAATTATTTTCATTTTCACATACTTGTGTGAGCTTTTTTGGACCATTAAAATGAAAATGGAAACAGCATTTGACATTTCATTTTCAAAGACTTAACCTGCACTATAGTGGACTTTATTCAAATGCAATGAGTGATACAGCGCCCCCGGTGTATTGTATTTACAGGTCCATGTGCTCATGGTCTTTTAAAGGTTCAGTGTGTAATATTTCTGAGGATCTATCAACATAAATGCTATTTAAGATCTATAATTATGTTTTCAGTGGTGTATAAAGACCTTATATAATAAACCATTATGTTTGTATTACCTTAGAATGAGACATTTATATCTACATAACCGCAGGCATCCCCTTCCGTGGATGTCGCCACGTTGCATCGTCATGTTTCTACAGTAGCTGAAAATGGACAAACAGTGCTACAGAGCACGTTCCGCGTTTTTATATACAGTCTATGGTTTCGTCACTAAGTTCTTCTGGTTTTACTTCTGGTAGAATTCAGGCAGTGCAGACACTCATCACTATGCTGAATACATACGTTAGAAGAAGAAGTTGTAGTAATAATATACTGCAGGGGTCTGCAAATAAGTTTTGAATTGGAGCAATATCTTCAACTATTAGATTGTGGATGAGAATATAAGCCATAATATTACTTCAACCAGGTGTCTACTTTGGTTAGCTCAGTTGGTAATCTGCAGGGCTCTCAACCCAAGGATTGATAGTTCAATCTCACCTTGGGAAATCTGCAGTGAATGTTTCTGAGATCACAGCATGTGCTGCACTGTTTTTGTTTCGGTGTTTGATCCGCATCCATCAAACTACAGACTTTTTTGCATTTCCCTAGTATCTCCAGTCAGAGGACATTTAGGGGAATCACGTTTTCTGAGGCTCTTTCAGAGGTGTGTCAAGCAGAATACAGACTCTTAATGTCGTTCAGAATTTTTCAGAATAAAAGCTCAGTTCAACTTCAAACAGAAGATTGCAATAAGCAAGCTTTCTCGCGCCTTTTTTTGTAGGCAAAACCACTAAAGAGGAAGTGATTATGTGAGTAACTGTTGCCGCTGTTAAAGCACCATAATCTGGTAGTGGGCCAGATATTATTGTTGGTGGGCAGTTTTAGCGAGGGTCCATAATCACAGAGAGAATTACTGTGTTTCCCTTGTCAATGTTTGTATAAACTTTATTTAATATGTGGTTTATTTTTAACTGTGGTGCAGAAACAGTGACAGTGTTTCACACTATTGGCTTACATTTTTCATGTTGTCTGTCAGTGGCAAAGTCGCAATAATATATGGTTTTACTGAATAATTAAGTAAATATAATTTCTTAATAAATACCTAAAGAAACCTAATTTTTGACTGGCCACTCTCTGCTGTCTCCTTTTGTGCTGTGTCAGACACTGTAGCTGTCCTACCCTCTTTGAAAGGTTAGGCGGCAGTGGTAGACTGGACAGTGTGTTGCAATTCACAACCCTCACCACTAGATGCCACTAAATCTCACCACTAGATGCCACTAAATTTCACCACTAGATGCCACTAAATCTCACACACTGAACCTTTAAGGGCAAATGTAAAATCAAAATGCCATTTCCTAACTATGTGAAAATGAAAATGAGAACAGCATTTGACATTATATTTTCTAAGACTTACTCTGCTCTATAGTGGACTTTATTCAAATTCAATGAGTGAAACAGCACCCCCAGTCTTCTAGTTAATATGAGTTTGAATTTGATTGATTCATTCTGAACACAGCCACATCCCCAGATATAAGAGGGTGTGCACACTTATGCAACCAGGTTATTGTAAGGTTTTTATTTTTCATTTTCCCCCTCGAGGATTTCAGTTTGTTTTTCAATTGAATTGTTCATGTTATAGGTCACATTAAATGTAGAAAAAGTTCTGACATGATTTATCTTTGTGTCATTATTTTACATCACAAGAACCTGGCATTTTAACAGGGGTGTGTAGACTTTTTATATCCACTGTATCTTTTAGCCCTGATAGGCTAGACAAGCTGTCCTTGTTGCACAATTGCTTAGCCTCCATTAACAAATGGTTGGCAGACAACTTTTTGCAACTAAATCCAGACAATACTGAGGTGATTTTGCCCCAGACATTACCTCTAAGACTAGGCAGGCGATTGGGGCTCTATCATCCTCTGACTGTAATGTTTTATGTTTTTCCATCTCAGGAACATTGCTAAGATTAGTGGTTTCTAAAGAAGAGATGGAGATGCTTGTTCATGCTTTTATTTCTTCTCGTCTGGATTATTGTAATGTACTGTACACTTGTTTAAACAAATCCTCCATGGACCAACTGCAAGTTGTACAGAATGCAGACCAACAGTACATTGCACATTACTCCTGTGCTCAAGGCTCTTCATTGGATTCCGATTGGTTTTAAAGTGCATTTTAAAATTTTAACCATTACTTATATAGACTTGCGTGGTCAAGCTCCCTCTTACATCCAAGATCTATTGCACACACACATTTCTGGTCGCTCTCTGAGGTCTTCAGGAAAAGACCTTTTAACTGTTCCCAGAACATGTTTTAAAACAACTCTCTGGAACTCTCCCTTTAGCTTTGAGAGCCTTGGATTCTGTGGAAACTTGTAGAAAACACCTTAAGACACATCCTTTTGTATTTTCTATGTTGTTGTTGTTATTTGTTTTATTCTTTTTTTTTTTTTTTACTGTGAATCACTTTGTGAAAGGTTTACTTACTTGATTTGATGGTGTTTCATAATTTGAGATTATATCTGTATGTTTCCTCATTTGAAAAGGACTTTATTTGCGGTTTATATGAGTAATATGGTTTGGAAACCAAAATGTTAAATCTGCTGCAGCAGTTTGTGGACAGTAGGTGGCGCTGTGAGACTGTGGTTTACCCAGGGACTGTAATCAAGAGCGCATGCTCCGCTGGTTTTCCTCCTAAATGAGGAGATTTCAGCCGCGACAGGCCACGTCTCCCTGTCTCATCATTCTTTCCTGTATTTCAGGACAAATCCAACAGTTTCTGGGTGCTGCAGGGAGGTACCTGTAACACACACATTTCCACTGTGGCTTTCATTGAATGTGCAGCCACAGTCTTTGTGTATTTAGCAGCTGGTTTCCTCAGACAGCAGCTCATTACACAGTCAGCTGCTGGGACGGCCTCCAGGTTCATTCTGCCAGTGAAGGAGAGCTCAGCAGGTTCAGTTCAGTGGAGGGATTTTATCATCACCGAGCTCAGAGAAGAAATGTTAAACAGCTGAACTCCACTTGAGGAAAAACTATTACCAATAAAATGGTAATAATACAGTCTTTAGTACTAATTATACTATCAATGCAACAGGAGTCATTAAATTAATTTAATGGCAGATGAAAAGCAGATGGAGTGACATAAGATGCGTCAAAGATGCACAAAACACACACAAGCATATGACTGAGGTAAATTCATTTTAACATCACGTTAAAATAAAGTTTAACAAACACAACACAGCACCCTGTTAATCACAATATGACATGTTCACATTACAGTCATTTGACACTTTTGTCCAAAGCAGTAATAATGTGGTTCATTATGTTGCCCAAGGACACTTAGACATGTTGACAGGAGCTCAAGTTTCAAACCACAAACCTTGTGATCAATGGCTGAGCAGCTGAGCAGCTTAGCTGCAGCCGCTCATGTTAATGTGCTTTGTCTATTTTTAGAATAAAGTGTCAGATTTTATTGTTTTTTTATATTTTATATTCTCTGTCATCACAGACTTTTCGACTGTGGACTCTCAGAGACTCACTGTGAAGTCATGGCCTCAGCTCTGAAGTCCAACCCCTCCCATCTGAGAGAGCTGGACCTGAGTAAAAACTATCTGGAGGATTCAGGAGTGAAGCTGCTGTCTGCTGGACTGGAGAGTCCAAACTGTAGACTGGAGACTCTGAGGTCAGTTCATGTGTTCTGCTCTTGTCCAGTGTATCTACCAAATTAAAATCCATAAAAGAAGTTTTAAATTTCCTTCAGTTCTCTTGTTTTCTGGGTTTGTCTGAGCACAAACCACAACAGCTCTTTTTAAAAGTTTGTGGGTATTTTTAATGGAATTTAGTCTGAACTCAAAGTGGATTCATGTTGATGCAGTTCTAAAGACGACTGAGGATGAAGCTCAGTCAGTCAGCTGTGTTTTGATGGAGATGACAGTGGTGATGAGGAGAGTCTAAATCTGTGCTTTGAAATGAGCATCAGAAGTGCTGGGACAGGTGGTAAAGAGCTCTGCAAGGTTTTGGATTTACTAAAAGTCTTATTCATTTCATAAAGTCTTTTTATTTCATATCTGCCATATTGGAATTCTATAGAAAACATCTGTCTTAGTATTTTTCATAAAGTGAGACATGATTTTTATGAATTAGAAGAAACAGAAGAGAATGAAAGTAACAAAAGTACTAACATGTCTGATTTGTTCATTATTCCAGACTGACTTGAGATCAGCAACATGTTATTGATCTGTGTCGACATGAATAGGTGTATGAATGTTGCGCTGACATTTGGATGATGTCTGTAGAAGGCTGACATTATGATGATCCACAATAACACAATGACAAAGTCCCTCTACTCATTTTAGGGAAAAGCTCATTGATTAGGACATAGTAATGTTGAGCTCCACATTTAAAACTGGAACACGTGATTAGATTAGAAATGGATTTTTATCTCCATCATTTATTCTTTATTCAGATTGAGGGGCTGCGGATTGTCAGAAATCAGCAGTGCTTTTCTGGCCTCAGCTCTGAAGTCCAACCCCTCCCATCTGAGAGAGCTGGACCTGAGTAACAACTACAAGCTGCAGGATTCAGGAGCGAAGCTGCTGTGTGGTTTTCTGGAGAGTCCACACTGCAGACTGGAGACTCTGAGGTCAGACATGATTTATGTTTAATATTTAGGCAAGAATATTTGTTTATTTATTAAGTTTAGCTGTCCTTAAAATGACATGACACAACAATGACATTATTTTGAAGGCGAGCTGTCTCTATACCCGGTTTCAGTTTCTTGTTCAATTTCCATTGTACAAGATGGATAATGGAACAAGCCGATGCTTTTGTGCACTAAATTGCATTGCACATCTTCATTCAATGCGACAATAACACAGCATAGTGCTAACATTTTTTTGGCAGCATCGGCTCTAGAAAAATGAACTCCGACTGTTCAATATAAATTTATATTAGTAGGAGGTAGTTAGTAGCAAGTAGGACAATGAAATTAGGAAATACCTATACTGGCTGTTTTCATCACACAATGTGAACAACTGCAGATGAATTATAATTCATGCATGGACCCTTAAACTCTTGATTTTCAGCTTCCATTCCACATCATGTTTTTAAAGAAATGATAATAAAACGACATGAATTCAATGAAGAAATAAATAATCTCTATTTCAACTATCAGACAATAACAAATATATTCAGTATTTGCTTTTTCCAACATTGTGATGAAGCTATATGATGCTTATACTGACTGAATAGTTTAAAGTGAAGAAGCTTTGATTTGATAACTCCACTATTCCTAAAAGAAATATTGTAGATTTCTTTTGTTCACATTTCCCCAAAGTTCATCCTGACAAATTTGGTATCTTTGGAAACTCTTTGATCTTGAGTGGAATCTTAAATCAGTTTCTGTGGGTTTTTCTTTGTGTTTGGCTGCACAGCATGAGTTTGTATAGATGGAGCCACTGGTGGAGCTGCAGAGTTTAAGAGGTGAAGTTACTACGTCTTTATTGAAGTAGCAGCATGTTGTCATTAATATTAATGAGAGCTCTTTTTACCTTTTTTGTATTTTACTGTTTGAACCTGCATCCTGTTGGGTTCAGGTGTTTGGAGTTTCCATTTTCTAAACTTCTACATTCTAAACCTTCTACAGCTCTGAACAGATTATTAAACACTGAATGATTTCAAGCAGGAACATTGTCTTCTAAAGTCACATCATTTATTCTTTATTCAGATTGAGGGGCTGCAGGTTGTCAGAGATCAGCTGTGCTTCTCTGGCCTCAGCTCTGAAGTCCAACCCCTCCCATCTGAGAGAGCTGGACCTGAGTGACAACAAGCTGCAGGATTCAGGAGTGAAGCTGCTGTGTGGTTTTCTGGAGAGTCCACACTGCAGACTGGAGACTCTGAGGTAAGTTCACTGACTCTCTGTTACTATTGTAGACCTGATATGTTTAGTTAACAATTTAACCTAATTTCTGTTCATAACTTCCATCCATAAAGTTGTAAATGTTCTTTTGATCATATTTTCATATTTCTTGTACTATATTTAGTCTGCAGTGACAAAGACTTGTGTTTCTCAAAGAAACTATAGAAAATATCTGCTGTTAGTCATTAAAGTAAATGAATGTTTCTAATTTTTGGTAAATGGTCACATCTGTATATAGAAGATCCTCTGAACTAATATTTGTTTGAAACTGATCAAGTTTACTTGTTGAAGTAGTAACATTTCTTTGCTTTCTGTTAGTTTCAATGTGTTTTCACAAAGAATTTCTGATCACTGATATCAGAGATTGGGACTCGAGTTTGAGACTCGGACTCAAGTCCAACTTAAGTCGCATACACAGTAACTTCAGACTCGACTTGAGACTTGTCCTCAAAAGACTTCAAACTTGACCAATATTATATAGCTGCTGTACCGGAGGCTGCAGTTTCAGGACCCCCGCAATCCTGGGACTGCAGTTCTAAGACCGTATTTCTTTTGCAACAACTCCATCTGGTGGAGTAGTGGTGGTAATGCACAGCAACACGAAGGAGGTTAACCCTGTCTGCTGTGCGCAGCTGTAGGGTTAACTTGTATTGACATGCATATAATCTATAACTTAGGTTTAGGCACACACCCAGTGATGGTTGTGGTAAGGGTAATTGGATTCGGGGGGCTGTAAAGAGTCACTTAGCCAGCTAGCTAGCTGGCTAACTAGCCAGCCAGCTAGCTAGCTGGCAGGATCAAAGTAACCAAGGGTCCTGGAAATGCAGTTCCGGTCCTAGGATTGCGGTCCTGACTGCAGCGGTGTGACAGTTTAATGTATCGTCATGTAGATATATACTTCTGAATCTAGTTTGTAGGCTACATCGTTAGCTACACGATGATTCACAGGGACCTCTCCCACCTGCAAATTAGTTTAAAGCGAGGACTTCGAGCATGATCATGGAGGTGACTGTGTCGCTGTTCAAAACACTGCAAAATTTCAATAAACCGTCCAAATGTTCATGTTGTCTGTCTGATTTATGCTTCGGTCGGTTTACATCTATTCTTACTTACATAAGGGAAACAGGCTGAGGTGTTCAGATGGACCGCAAAGTGGAGACACTGTTAGCTGTGGCAGAGCTCCCAGATTAACCTGTGATACAGCTTTCGATCGATCCCATTTATATTCCGCTGTCTTTGCCATTGTTACCAACATTGCCTTGGCTTTGAAACTGCATACAACAAGGCCCAAACAAAGAAGTGCTGAACGCAAAATAGGTTAGTAACCTGAGGCTAGTGAACATGTTTAGCTCAGCAACGGCCAGCTAACGTTAGCTTACTTCTTGCTTAATCTACGACCTACCGGAGGTTAGTTCCGACTGTCGTTCGTTATGAAAAGATGAATGAGCTTTTGTTTGCTTGCCAAACTTGTGGTAGTTGATTAACGTAATCATTTACGTTCCGCTGGCTGCCATCATGTTAATTATTAATGTTGACTGCAAACAGATTAAGATTTATTGTTGATCATGCAGAGTTACAGTTTTATGCAGATAACGTGATACTGGGCTTGAGAGTCTGGGGAATGTGTTGACTTACAGTAGTTAATAAGCTGTCATTAGTTGTAGATGCATTAGTCTACATGGCTGTGCTCTGTGAGTGAAAAACAGGTTACAAGTTTATTGTTGATCATGTAACGTTACGGTTTTATTTAGTAACGTTACAGTGGTTTGAGAGTCTGGGGAATGTTTTGACTTACAGTAGTTAATAAGCTGTCATTGCATTGCACATTACATAGTTGTGCTCTATAAGTAAAAAAACAGGTTACAGTAACAGAATCCCTTAAACTATGCAGTTTTATAAGCAGTCTGGACTGAACGCAGCAGGTGATACAACATTCATTATAACCACGAGAGACTTGACTTGGACTCGTGAGCGTCTCTGACTGAGACACACACACACACACACACACACACACACAGGTCTGAGATCAGCAGCATGTTATTGATCTGTGTTAACATGAATAGTTGTATGAATGCACTGTGAGATGACTGTTGTTGTGATTTGGTGCTATATAAATAAAATCGAATTGAAATTGAATTGAATGTTGTGCTGACATTTGGATGATGTCTGTAGAAGGTTGACATTGTGATGATCAACAATAACACAATGACAAAGACCCTCTACTCATTTTAGAGAAAAGCTCATTGATTAGGACAGAGTAATGTTGAGCTCCACATTTAAAACCTGAACACATCTTATTGGATTAGAAATATATTTTTATTGGCATCATTTATTCTTTATTCAGATTGAGGTTCTGCAGTTTGTCAGAGATCATCTGTGCTTCTCTGGCCTCAGCTCTTAAGTCCAATCCTTCCCATCTGAGAGAGCTGGACCTGAGTAACAACGAGCTGCAGGATTCAGGAGTGAAGCTGCTGTCTGATCTGAAGGAGAGCCCGCAATGCAGACTGGAGACTCTGAGGTCAGTAGAGGGTTGGAGTCAGTCCATGCTGGTTTAGTATCAAAGCAGAGATCCAGTATTTCCTGTAACCTCCAACCTTCTCAGCGGCTGCTTTCCTCAGTGAAGCTGTGAGAGGAGAATGGTGACAGGCTTCAGGATTGGACAGAAAGACAGAGAGAGAGAGAGAACAGGCAGTGATCATGTGTTTGAGTTGATGTGAAGACGACTCTTGTTGTTGTGTTCATGTCTCCAGGAAATAAGCAGCATCACAAGATGTATAGAGACAGTGGTCCTCATTCATCAAACTGTACCATCAAATCTGATCTCAAAGTGTTTGTTCTCTCATTTCAACACTAAACTATTGATCAGTTCATTTTTGATACAGTTCTGAGATCTGACTGAAGCCTGCTAATCACTGGCTCTTATTTCAGAGAACCATCATTACATTTAGTAACCATGTGGTCTTTCTACAGAGCAGAACCTCTGCTGTCCAGTAAGTCCAGTAAGCACAGCTGATGTTTAGCTGTTCAGTGTTTGTATGAAAATGAAGGACCTTTAACATCATATATATATATCTGTCCATGTGTCTTTAGTTTGATCCAAATGTTTTTAGAACAGACTCCAGATTTGTCCTGTAATATCTCAAAAGTAGCTGAAATCTTCAAATGTGACTGAGCCGCTTGTTTTTAACAGCTTTGAGCCCTAACAGCAGTAAATCCATCATTACAGTGAGCAGTGAATATCTCTGTGTCTGCAGTCATGATGCGTTCAGGGACTCTCAGCACTTTATTTCCACTGTGTACTTGAGTGAAACCTGCAGAGTAAACAGACCTGATGCCCAAAGTAATGGGATAAGAATGCATCCAGATGGAGAGAGGAGCTCAGTGCATCATGGGAAGTCTCCCAGCAGTCTAGGCCTATAGCAGCATCACTAAGGTCTGGTTCAGGACTCACTTGAGTCAGCCCTAACTATAAGCTTGATCAAAGAGGAAAGTCTTAAGCCTACTCTTAAATGTGAGAGCTGAAAGGAAGCTGGCTGCGCTACACAGCCGCTCCACTTCTGGTCTGAACAGGACTGAAGTCCCTGCTGGTCTTTATACTGGATGTGCTGCATCACTGACTGACAGCTGATGAAGGGAGTCTCTGTAAACTCTGATTTATGACTTCTGCTGTCTGTCTTCTTCTCTCATCAGCTGGTGATCTCTGTCAGAGTGTGAGTGATGAGAAAGGTGGAGGTGTTGAGAGAGGATCAGCTGTGTCCTGATGATCCAGAGAGGTTGAAGCAGCAGCATCAGCTTGTGTGTGGAGAGGCTCTGACTGGGCCATGTTACTGGGAGGTAGAGTGGAGAGGAGAGCTTCATCCAGCAGTGACTGACAGAGGAATCCCAACAGTGCTGCAGTCTGAACTGCTCTGAGATCAGCTCCACTGTCAGACACAAAGTCAAGTCCACCATCATCCCTGTGTGTTCCTCTGGATGTGACAGAGTATCATCAGTGGATCTGGACTGCTCTGCTGCTGCTCTGTCCTTCTACACAGTCTCTGCAGACACACTGAGACTCCTCCACTCCTTCTGCTGCACACTCAGACACCTCCTCCACCTGGACCTCCACCTGGACCTGATTCTGTCTGTTTTTAATTCGTTCAGATGTTCTGAACCCAAAGAGCCTCTGCAGATTAGTTCTGTTTGACAACAGAACTGCAGATTAACACTTACAGTATTTATCGACTTTTCTGCTTTGCTTTCTGTTGCAGCTCCACCTTGTAGATTGATGGAGAATTGCAGTTATTTCCACGTTATATTTCTGACACATTTTGAAAACTCTAAAAATTGCTGATAAATATATCAATGAATAATATATATAAACATTATTATTTGTCTATTTTATACCAAGTCCGTCAACTGCAGATCCCCTAATTTTATCTTTGTTAACATCGACCTTCAACATTCAACCAATCTTTTTAAAACTCTCCATATTGAATCATATTTATTCAAGCTTGTTTTCTAGAGCACAGTGTTAGCTGGTCCAAATATGGCAAATATCTATAAGAATAAGTGGTTTATTTTGAATAAATCCATGTAAAACTATATTTTGATAAAGCGTTCTGTAAATGTCTGAACATTTGGTTTATTATCACAATAAAACAACAAAAATCCATCTGACTCTTATCAATGTGCTGGAAAATGGATTTGCGTGATAACGCTTAGTACCTCATTTGCATATTATGAAATCAGTTTGTTCTGCCGATAAATCCCCAATCCCCAATATATTTAATTTTTAATGTGTCTGCTGCATCAACGGCATCAAAAGTGATTCACTGGAACTCAATATTGGTCCAAAAAACTACATGTTTTTAAAACACAAAAAAAATTGTATCATCTGCCAGTTGAGATAATTTAAATGATCTAAGGCCTACTTTGGAACCACAGACTGCATAAAAACTTGAAACTGACCTTTTTTAATGTTTATAGCCACAGTTTGTGTG